TGTTATTACAACTCACATATATTCATATAGTCGTGTGCAATCGATTTTACCATTTCGTTTTTACGGAAAAATTCTTGTTAATTGCTACTTAAAACATCGAACTCATTAAGTGGAATGCGCGTTTACTCAAATTAGAACCGTTTGCGCGAGCTAAAAACGGGCTGGCAATGATGAAACATTTTTATGAGAATTTAGTTTTTATTGCAATATTCATTTTCAACGTTACTCAAATTACCTCTTATTCAAATTGATTTTCAATAAAATTGTACAAATCGAAAAAAATGATGTTGCACTTCAAGATTTAAAGAATAATTTTTCATGTTGAGTAAATATTCCTTAAATATTTGAGTTTTCTGTTTTATATTTTACAGATGAATTATTCAAATTACTCCGCTGTATCTTACTGGTTGGATTTGAACTTGAAATTAAAATTCCAAGTGAGTGAGGCCAAAGTTTATTTTATATTTTTATTATTTTATATTTAATTTATTGCTATGTTTATATTTAATTTGTTTTATTTTTTAAACTATTAAGCTTTGTGCAATCATTGTGATTCCCAATTCCCTTAGCAACATAAATCCATAGATTCATTTTTATGCACATTTGGTTTTACAAGCAATGATATGATAAATGTTAAAAAGAAATGGAAGCAAAATATAATTTAAATTTAATATTATATGAATAAAAATTTAATATTATTAAAATTTAATATTATATGAATAGAAATAATGAAAAATAAAAACAAAATGTATTTGATGGAATTATTTAAAGTAACGTGAGCTTATTTTTATTTATATTTTTAATAAAAAAATAAAAAATGATTCATTACTTTAAGATTATTTAATAAAGCAATTGATATAATTTTAGTGAATTTGAAGCTGCAATACGGTAAACACATCTAAAAGGAATCGTGTTTATATATTTACATTTAATGTAAAACTGCAACGTTTAATATGAATGATTTCAATTCTGTAGGAACATACATTTACAGAATATAAAAATGAATTCATAATTATACAGATTTCAATGTTTTTTCCATGCTTTAACATCACATGGCTGACATGCATGATGATCTTTGCATGAGCAATTGTTTATTTATCTACCATGATTTAGTATGACCATGTTTACGTGTATGCGATCGTCCCGAAAGTTCTTTCGGGAATTCGAATTTTATTTTGTTATATCAACAGTCATTATAGTAAATCATAGTCCTACCGAGAATGTTATTTTTAAAAATTAGTTTTTTTTTATTCAGTTCATAGATAATTTTATATAATTACAATTATTCATTGTTCTATTTTATTTAATTAAGAAGCAATATCTTCAGTATTAATTTTGATAAAAAATATAAAGTTTATTATATTGTCTATGGCAAACATACTTATACTTATAACTATTGTTATATTAGATATTAAAATAATTAATATTACTAATATGTTTTTTAAAAATGGAAGATTTTTATTGCAAAATTTAATTTCTTAATTTGTTAAATATGTCGATAATCAATTGAATGTTAAAGAATGAATGGAGTCTTGACATTTATATTTAAATAACGATTTGTTTATAAGAGTTAGTTTTTAAGAAGATTTTTCTGGAGAAACTAATTTGAAGATTAGTCAAAGAATTTCTCTTCGAGAAGGTATTTATCTACGAATGTCTTGTATAACATGTTGCCACGATCAGCGTTAATATTCTGAAGCTATCATCGAAGGCATTTTTTCTGATGCGTTTTACGAGCAATCCTCGATATGTGGTACCGTTGTAAAGCGCGGGACTAGAAGCTAACTTGTATCTGCTCTGCCTTGCTGTTTTACGATTATGATCGTCTTCTACGTTGCCACATGGCCAGTAGTTCCGGTCGAGAAATTACTCTCTGTAGTTCGGCACCCTGCCTCTTCTTTCTTCCGCTATCCTACTTCCTCTTGAGAGAGATATTTCAACCCTTTTCAAAACGCTGAAAATAGCGGCTATGTTCTTCCATGTACATCTTTGTACAAACTTACTTAATAGATACACTATTCTAGACTTTCCTTTAATACCATGTTGGAATTGTTGATCGTACCAAGAAGAAAATATTTTTGGGTATTCTTAATATTTTTAAATGATAATTGCAGTTTTAATTTATTACATCTATTTATTAATTTATCTATTTATTAATAGTCTTCATTCTATAGAATTCGTCTTAAAGTATTCCTCAACAATTCATTATGATATGAATACTTCAAGTTTTAGTACTTTAAATACTCTGAAAATTCATAAGGAATTACAAGCATATGCGCATATGCACGAGATGACGCGAATATCCAAATGATTCGTGTGTAGTCACATTAGCTATGCAGTATATGTATATTATTATAATTAAATGTCAAATAAATAGTGCATTAAGTAAGTAATATTATTTCTTCACATTAACATGATAAGGGAACTAAATATTTTATTTTTTTTATTTTATTTATTTTATTTTATGAAATGTTATAAGTATAGTTGAATTGTATTCATTTATTATAAAAATTTCTACATATTGCTATTATATAATTCAAAATAACGCATGCTGCGAGATTCTTTATTTTCATTGTTATTATATTCGCGTTGTTAAAATATTAAATGTTGTTAATTCCAAAATTTATTTTGCGAATAGTTTTTTACATAATAATTAAATAAATAATGAACAACGGTCATAACTTTTAATTTAAATAATTTGTTGATAGTTATTGTATCGACAATTAGAATTGCTTTCTAATTAATATCACATGGAACAATTCTTATAATATATAAAT